CCCAACGTTTTGATATGAACGATCAAGACAACCAATTTTGGCAGCCCACTCCATATCCGTTTTAATGCCAAGTACAGCCAGAAAAAGCTTCTGGCCACTAGAAGTGACAACTCCTTCACGGCATGCTGTTGCACAGTCCAACATGACCTCCTCAACCATTCGGCGAAGCAAACCAGGCATGTTCTTGTGCCTTTTTGATGGATAGGCAAAGCACAGGAAATGGTGAAGGTACGAGTTCAGTCTTGAATTGACCCTTTGGGCGTCGGAGTTTCCCAAACATCCACCACCGAAGCATTCTGAGGTCGCACACTGGCAATGGAGCAATGACGACTTGGATGTCTCAAGGCCAAGTACTGGCTGAAATGAGAAGACTTCGATCGGCTCTTTCTTTTGAGTCCTACCTCCATCCCCATGAAAGGTGATAGGAATCGTTTTGGATAATCTCTCCAAATCATGCTCGAAGACCGCATGCTGAGGATGTTGCTTCCTGTAAGACTGCCAAAACTCCAGGAGAAGTTCTGGTGACTTCTCCAAGCTGCAACCGCCGAGCAAAACCCATTGGTAATCCGCTAGTAGGGTTTTCACCATGTCAGTGACTTTCAGAAAGGGCACTCTACTTGTATTCCCTCCTTCCTCATGAACTATCCAGGAGGTAGGAACTTTGAGCTTCAGGTGAAATTTCTTGACCAACAACTTGTACTGCCGCGAGGCATTCTTAAAGTTCCTGCCCCGTGTTCCCAGCGATCTCTTTGCAAAGCCAGGCCCAAACTCTTCGGCCATCGCGTTGCTCTTCTCAGCAACAATTTTTGCAGGAGCCTGCAGGGGAACAAGTCGAGCCACGCAGGGCCATGCATGCATGGTGTTGATTGGGCAGCTAGACACGCAGGCACAAAATATGTTCAAACAAAAATAAGTCGAGCAACACCATCAGCCACACATTGAACTACATGTCGGAGTACTGGCCCAGCTTCTGATGGGCCTAGCGAACAATATGGTGTGTGTGTGTGGGGGGGAAGATGCAAACACACAGCCTGCAAGAACCTTTGCAGCTCAAGTTTGAGGACCATGCTATGTTGACATGACTCACCCAGATTTGGTGGACACTTTCTTTCCCTGGCAAACGAAAGTATTGAACTAGAGGCACTAATTACGGATCTTGACCATCACATCAGCTCCTAAAAAAGCTCGTGATGGATTGAGGCACTTAAACTGCCTCAAAACCCAATCCCAAGAGCAAGGTTCTACTTTTCAGAACACCTGCAAAAATGCCAGGAACGCCAAGCTTTGCTCTAATGCTGTTTCTTTACTGTAGGCGTGACTGGTTCAGCGGTCTTCGATTTGGTCTTTGACCGCATATGGTTCAGCATGGGCCTGGGAAGACAGTGAAGAAACCCAAATAGAAAGAACTGGCTGAGTGTGTCTTTTTTCCCTTTTCCTGTGGATGCATCACTGATGGAACAAACTGATGTCACAGCTCATCAATAGGGCTTGGGCTGTGCACGGCTCATCAATCCCAATGCATCTGAAGCCCTTAGGTGGTCCGCGGTAGGGTGACGGAGTGGAAGTTTTCCGTTTCAATGACAGTCATCAAGTTTAAGATCAAACAACATGCTTGTGTTGGAGAGTTTTTAGCTAAATCGACAGAAGGCCATACGCTGATGTGACCTTACTTTACTCTTTGTCAATTTTGATAAAAGTTCATTTCCCAGTACTATAGGCTAGGCTGAAGCAAAAGAAATAAACTATACATACAGGCCATGGCACTTTTGCTTGGCAGTTCCAAATTCCTTCTTCAACGATGTTTGCTGCCTCAATCCGCTAAGCGTAGGGAATGCATGAATGCAACAACCCACCAATGGCATTCAAGTTATGTGCAAACAAAATACGCATTAGTAAAACCAGAGAGAACACCCTCGGAATTCAAGGTGGCAATAGACTCCTGAACCGAGTCCAACTCCTTGGCGCAGGATTGTGCCTTCTTCACCAACCTCGGTCGGAAGGCAAGCCGGGCATGGGATGCCATAGAGTGACCCTTGAAGATGGAGCATTTTGCATTCATGTCTAGTGGTGCCCAAGTACGGTACATGTACTATATGAAGCAATCACATCTTCCAAGTTCCGCTAAGCTACTGGTCAGAGATGTCAAGACTTGCGCAATGGGTTCGCAACTGTTCAGCTAGGTCATACATCTTGGCAGACCACTTACCCAAACAAGTTAAGACTTTGATGCAGTAGGTAGAAGGAAGCGCGTCATCATCCATGTCAGGGAAGGTGATCTTCTTGAGCATTTTGCAAGCAGCGTCTTTTGCATCCACTGCGGCATTCTCCGTTTTCTGTTCTGCACAGAGATCTCAATAGTACATAAAACAAACCACACTCAACAAGACGATGTACAATGCTGTTGAACCAAACTTACTTATGATAACTATGACGACACCACATGCCTTCAGACACATGGACCTCAGCCAAATGAAAGTCGCCCACTTCAACGGGCGCATCAAAGTCTATTGATTCCACATCGGAATCCTCTTCCTCCAAGACTTCTCGCTTCCGCTTCCTGACTGAGAGGAAGCGTTGACTTTCCCTGGGAATTACAGAAAACACATGTTGCATAATACCCTGCTGACAGTAGACTTGTTTGAGGCTCCCCTTGGTGGAAAAGGAAGCGTGCATGAACGAATACCATCTCACAAGGTGCAACCTCTAGCCACACATGGACTACCTCTAGTGCAACCTCTAGTTCTCAGGAGTCTTTCCAGCTCTGATAGTTTCAGTGATTGCACAAAAGACTATACCTGTGTCACCGTGTGGCATCCATCTTGGGTCCCTTTGTGATCACAAGAATGATATACATGTGTGTGGGCTTGGTTTTGGAAGGCTTTATACCACTAGACCACATACCCGTACTTTTCCGATGCAAGGTCGGCTTATATTGGAGACAGGGTTCAAGAGACGGCCGCTCATGTTCTTCTCCATCCAATAGAGCAACACGTTCTTCTCATACCTGTCTCGCCTGGCAGTCCGAACGACGGTTTTGGTCCTGAAGTTCTTCAGTTTTGCGATGGACATTGCAGCCAAGAGGCCGGATCCATCCCTTGTGATTTGCTGCTTCGGCCTTGATGGCCTTGATCCGCTTCCTGGGCCAAGCTGCCAGCAAAATTGCACAGGTTGTCCCCTATTTAATATTTGTTTGATGCAGTACATGCGACATCTTCCACACACACACACACGATCACATGCACCTATTTATCGAGAAAAACACAAGTCAAGCTTCTCTGGAATTCCATCGGCTTTCATATCTTCTTCTGAAACAAAGTCACCATCAACCCACAAGTCTTGTTCCGTGATACGTTGTTTAATTCTCTTCATTGCATTCTTGATGAACATATCCCGCAAAGACCAGGTTGAAGAGTGGGATGAAGTAGGCAAAGAGGGCTCCAATGTTGGAATGTTTTGGAATAACACAGAGTCCAGTGTTTTGCAAAAGCCTGAGACAGATCAATTTGACACCACAACTGTTCGGGCATAAGCTAAAGTTAATTTTCACACATGTTGTAGTCCTTGTTGTAGGCAGCCTTCTTGAACTCTTCCAACAGCTTCGCTTGATCACCGTTCTGCCACTGTTCTGCAAGCTCTTTGGGAACAAGACTTTTCCCGTTAGATCTGGGTTTGACCAACCGTTCAATTCGCTTTTTCAAAGCGCTATCAGAAACATGGCCAGTCAACACACTAGCAAAATCATCCCGGCTTGCAGGTTGGTGCCCAGGTCCAGCTCTTGCAACTGTAGGAGGTGGGGTGGGTGTCATCAATGTCCGCTCCGAAAACGACACACGCCGACGGATATCCGGGGTGGCAGGGCCAGCTGCTCCAGGAAGGCTCAGGGCCTAAGAGTCCAGCGGAAAAAGGTTCTGTTGTAAGAGCGGTGAGATCGAGAGCATTTAGCATCATGGCTTCAACACACAGTGTCACCATTCAACATACCATATGCGATGTATCAATGATATCATATATGCATGATAATATCGATCTAGTATTGTGTAGCGTCATATATGTATCCTTTCATATAGTGAACCTAGAGTATGATAACTGAGAAACATTGGTTCCGGTCCCAAACCTTTGGATTGCAACAGTTCAAGCAAGCGCAGTGGTTGTCAACAATCGAAGCAACTTGACCTAGTTTTTTCCGATTGAACTATTTGGCCACACTGTGCCCCATATTACTTGTATGGCCAGTTGTTCTCCGTTGTCCTCTTCCCAATTCCCGGCCCGCAACCAAGAAACCTGACCAACAGCCATGTCTGGTTGAGTATCGGAGTCATGTTGAGTTTCCGCATATTCATCCGCGGCCCTCGGAGCATCCTCCGCAACAGCACATCGGGCAGCAGAAAGCTGTTGCTGCGCATCCTGCGAGTACCAGCCAGGTGATGAACTGGACACTAAAGCAACATGTCAAAAGGATATTACAACAAGTTTGTGTTGGAGGACGTCCTCCGAGAGAGATTGAGAAAGAACAAAGTGTGGTTTAGGTGCGCATGCGGGTACAAATAACATCAACCCTAACACGCAAGCTCTCCTCCAAACTAGCAAGGTGAGCCTCCAGCTCAGCCACGCTCCAATCCATGAGGTTTTGGGATCGGACCACATCTTCACCGTCCATCAGCGTCGATGAGCTAAAGGCACGAGATGGAAGCGAAACATACGACATTTTGGACCTGGAAACGATCTCCCGGGAAAATCTGCCGCCTTCCCAAGTTTTTCCGCCGCTTTCCCGGGAATTTCCGCCGCCGCCAAAAACACAAACTCATGAACCTCATGACTTTCATGAGTCAACACATGTTCTTCATGAAACTCATAACTTTCATGAGTCACACATGTATTTCATGAGCACATGAGCTCATGCATTTGTTGAGCTCAAGAACCGATTCAACTCATGTATTGCATGAGGTGTCGTTCAACCTTTTGGCTCCATGAGCGCATACCCCATTCAAGTCTAGGGTTCATTACCCCAGTGGAAGGTGAGTTGGTAAGGCATCCTTCCAGGATGAAGAAGGGATACGAAGGCGTTTGCTTCCCCTAGCGTAAATGATCACATCATTCAAGTCGCAGCAATCGTCCCATAAGTCCACATAGGACGCCTGCTGGAAGAGCTCTAATACAGTGCGGTCTTCTGAAACCTCAGGGAGTCAGTTCAAAGCATTGCTTTTTGGTTTGGGGAAAGTAGGCAAGATGATACATTGAAGACAACAGATAATCCAAAGCACGGAAGGCAAGGCTTGGTATGGTTTGTCTGCAATCATTTGTGGCATCAGCTTCACCATATTTGTTGCAAATCTGTACGTGTAGCGCCTCAATACCACGCAGTCCCACTTGGGAGTCAGGGGCCCCAACATGAAAGGGTTCGAACAGCTCTTTAGAATGCAAACTCAAATAAATAAGTGCATGACTGTGTTCCCTTCAAGTGGTCATTCCCCTGCCATCGTTTACGCCCATCACGATCAACCCGAATCGTTGTAGTTGAAACACAACCCTCGCGTTCTGCAGGAGTGAGTGGGCCCAAATCAAGCTCTTGGAGGCGGGGTGTGGTCCCCCACATCCATGTGCGCTTCCAAGTCATACCACCATGCTTGCGCATCCAGAAGCTCACCCGGTAGGTCTTGGTTGGCACGCATGCATGGGTATACTAGCCTTATAGGAAAACACAAATTTGTCTTTCACAGGCTGAGCAACAAAGATGTTGTGTGTTGCCAGAAGACGCACAAACCAAATATACCTGTCATGTAGTGCAATGAGGGAGTTGCTTGGGTTCTCCAGGAGGATGGTCCCACCAGCTGCAATGGTAAGAACCATGAGGATGATTGACCTGACATGTCACCACACCGCGTGATGCTACTAAAGTATATGCAAATGTGTGTCTTACACACCCAAACATGACTTGCAGCCCAAACACCGTGATACCAGCTTGTTACTTTTTCGCACTGAAGCCACCTGTTCATTCCCCAGCGGCACCAAAATATCTCGCCAACCTGTTCCCCTGTTGACAGGCACCCACGATGAACAACAAGTAGCAAATAGAGAGATCACCTCATTGAACCTGGACTGCCAAATCAATTTGATACCAAGGACCAGTCCGGCGTTTGAGTTTAGGTCCATGCTCCGGCGCTTTCCAACCCTGGGACGGCTGTACTCAAGGTCATAGGCCACAGCAGACAGCCCAACAAGTTCAGCCATTTGGGCCACTCTGCCAACACCTGAAAAGAATTCAATCATCCCATAGCCATGGTTGATGTCTCCTTCATCGGGGATCCAGCTTACGAGTAGGACCAACAGAATGATGACCTGGGCCAATTTGCTATCTAGCTCAAACACAACAACTTTTGAGTCTTTGAGTCAATTAATAATTAATATATTTGCATTGCATACAGGCCACTTTTGGGACCCCAAGAGCAAAAAGACGCTTGAAGAAGATACCCAGCTCAGCGGGTCCCATGGCAGCCGCCCTAAAGCCCAACAAACTAGGTTTCGAGCTTGAAAAGATCCTCTTGTAATGAATCTGTATCTCAGGCAATTCCAACGCTGCTGGGTCACTCTAGTGTTTGTTCCTCTCACCACATTGCAAAAGAAGTTGGTTTCGATTCATGCACGTGCACGGAAGACGCCTGGGAGATCAGCAGGGCTTGCCCCCAGCCCCAGCTTCGCCAGGCCAATTTGACCTCTACGAAGGCCATACATGACCTGGCCGCTTCAAGCAGGAGTGGGAAGGGGCACCTGGAATTCCCTAAGAGAGCAGGGAGCGGTTGGGCATGCGGGCACTCCTTTTCACAGACCCCAAGTTCCCAAGTAGCTGACTCACGAGTGGACGCACTCGTGTTGCATGGCCATGCATTCATTACATGGTATTGCTTGCGCCGCATTTGGCACACTAAGCCCCAAAAAGACCAGCCAGAGGTTTAAAAAAACACATACACATGGAGGGTGACGCTTGTGACAGTATGTTCATAAGACTTCAACCAAAGGTATCCAGCTGGATATCAATCCTATTTCCGGGCAGCCCGGGACTTCACCTCAGACTTCTTTACAGTGTCAATGAAGTCTGAAACACAGGATTCTGCTAGGCCCTTGTATGCAGAGTCATCATCAGGGCACTCCGAGTTGAACTTCTTCACGCACTCAGTCCACCAAAGCTCCTGCAGGAGAAAAATATGAAACAAAAGAATGTGAACATGGAAAGGTGTTCAAACCCAGGGACTCAAGGCCAAACAGACATTGACATGACTTTGGCTTTGGTAGCGGAGCCTCTCCTGCCACTGGTAAACCGTGTGCCCAAGATCACGGATTTGGCTTTCCAGCTTCTCACTGAACACGTCCCTGATGGCCTCCCAACGGGTCTTGGCAGGACGTGTTGAGGGGCACAGTCGTCTCCCAAAGGTGCTGGAAGTCTTCTGACGTTTCTTCGGTTGCTCCACCTCTGCGGCATCCTCCTCTGCGGCATTCTCCGGAAGCGGTTCCGCCTTGGCCGCTTCCTCCTCCTCAGCCTTTTTCTTTGCTTGTCCTTTGGCCTTGGCTTTTGCCTTAGCCTTTGGAGTGGGCTGCCGCTTTGGCGCAACCTGAGCCTTGGCCTTGGCCTTTGCCTTCTTCTTTGAAGAAGCTGACGGCTCACCTTCAGGAGCCTCTTCAGCAACCTCTTCTTGATCTTCAAGATCAATCACCTCGTCTCCAGTCGCCTGCTTTCCACGACCACGGCCACGACCACGGTTTTTCCTTGGCGGTCTAGCTGCAAACTGGTCCAGACGTCTGGGGACAGGCACCTTCTCCTGTGCCAAGAGTTTGCGCCTCAGGGAAGCCACTGCCTCTTCCGCACTCATGTTCTGCTCCGTGACATGTTTTTGCATGACCTCTGCAACCTCATGCACCAGCTTTGTGAAGTGCACCTGTTGCTCTGGCTCCTGGTCCAGCAGACCCGCTATAGCTGCAAGAGGATTGTGTCCATGTTGGGTCGCAGCAGTCAAAGCGAGATCAGCAGCAACCTTCAATTCTGCCAATCGAGCTGCTTCCTCCAAAGCTGCTGCATCACCACCACAAGCCGCCGGAAGAGAAGGACCTTGCACTTTGCCCGTTTCAAGAGCCTTCTCCAAAGCATCACGAGCCAGAGCCTTCTCCTTCTCAGATTTCTCCAAAGCATCATGCACCAGAGCCTTCTCCTTCTCAGAGTTCTCCAAAGCATCACGAGCCAGAGCCTTCTCTTTCTCAGAGTTCTCTAGAGCATCACGCACCAGAGCCTTCTGCTTCTCAGAGTTCTCCAAAGCATCACGCACCAAAGCCTTCTCCTTCTCAGAGTTCTCCAAAGCATCACGAGCCAGAGCCTTCTCTTTCTCAGAGTTCTTCAGAGCATCACGTGCCAGAGCCTTCTCCTTCTCAGAAATCTCCAAAGCATTGCGAAGAGCCGCCTTCTCCTGTTCAGCTTGCAGATGACAATCATGAAGCGCTTTCTGGCTGGCCTCAAGGAGAAGTGTCTTCACCTCCACAGCCTGCTCAGTCTCACGCATGGTTTTTTCTTTCTTAGCAAGAAGAGCCTTTCCCCATTCAAGTTCAAGATGCATCCGTTCATTCTCATCAGTCGCGCTAAGGGCCCTTTCCTCAAGATCACGAAGAGCATCCGTTTCGCTCTCCTTCAGAGCCTTCTTTGGCTCAGCCTCACAAGCAGCACTCTCCTGAGCTTCTTGAGCGCCATCCTCCACAGCCTTCTCCTCAGCTCGTCCAAGAAGATTGCGGGAAGCAATAGCTGCATCAACAGGAGCTAGCAGGGCATTCTCCTTCTCATCTGAAGATTCAAGCTCCTTTTGCTGCAAGGGTTTCTGACCCTCAAGCCCTGCCTGACTTTCTTTGGAAAAATCAGGCTGAAACTCGGCTGCAAGCGCATCAGGCGGAGTGTCCAGTGACATCACATAATCCTGGTAGGGATCTTTGGCAGCACAGGTCAACTCAGCATCTCCAGGATTGTAGGGCAAGGTTGGCATGGAGTCAATGTTGGGAGGCAGTGCGCTCTGGAGAAGCCACTGATTTGAGTTTGCTCTTCTGCGCAATGAGTTCCCTCAGTCATGAGGATGCTTTCAAGAAATGCGCAGAGGAGAATTCAATTCATGAAAGAAAAACATAGAAAAACATTCCAAAGAAAACATAAACTCTTTGCTATCACGCATGCAAGAGGCTTCACTTGGCGGATCTTGTCAGCCACATCCCCAGGATTTGCAAAGCAAGAGCGCGGAGACACAGGTGTCACAGGAGGCTCATCAGACTTAGGAGCTGGCTTGGGAGGATCATCGAGATTTTCTTCTAGATCCAGCACCAAAGTGATGATTCCTTGCTCCGCTTGTTTGAGGGACTCCTTCTCAAGCAAGCCTAGATCATCGCCATCATCATCAACAATCTCAAGCACAGGAACCGGTTCCTGAGGGCTCTTCCTTCGCTCAGCGCGTTCCTCATGAAGCCTCCGAAGCTCTTCACCCCAGCACTTGTTGATGATCTCAAAGTACTCTGCAACACCAGGTGCCTGGAACTTCCAGGCTTTGTGCCAACAATTGCCTACCCATGCCTACAAACCAAAAGCACAAAATAAACACTTTGTGCCCAGAGCAAGCCAAAGGCACACGACGTGATGGGCTGTGGTCCTTGTGGTGGCGGCTATCCAGACCAGTGCGGCGCATCGAGTATGAGAAGAGCTTCTTCAGAGTCCATGCATCCTGGTGGATCTTCACCGGGTTCAACTTGTAGCCCAGCATGCTTCTCAAACGCCAGATCTGGCAAAAGGGTGTGCAATGCATTTGCAGCAGTAACAAGACAGTGCTGCAGATGTGGGTATGGGATTAAACAATAAAACAATTTGTAAACCACCACCCAGGCCTGAGCTTTCAAGAAGTCAATCTGAGGCGCCTTGACCACATTGTTTTTGGAGCAGTGGTGTTGAGCAACCACTGACATCACACCAATGTTCAGGCCAATGCACTCAAGAGTGTAGACATTCTCAAGCTCTTTGGAAGGCCAGCGGATGAGGGCACCCTCCTCCCTTAGAACCGTCCTCACGGCCTTGCAGTTCTCAAGTTCCAGGGCCAAGGAAAAGTCTTCTACTTTCTGTGCTTTTGTTTTTGGTGGCTCTGGTGTCGCCTTCTCAGCTCCCCCCTCCACTTTTACATCTGGCTTGAGAGGCTCACGCTTGACCAAAGCCATCGTGAGAGCTAGTGGCTAGCACTGGAGAGAGGTTTGCGCAAACACCTTGTCACAACTGTTGTTCTTTTGAGCCACGAAAAAGGTCAGATTTAGCCTTGCGTCGATTTCAAAAACCAGCTGCATGATGCTGCACGTGCATATGTTATCACATATTGCATTGCCACATGATAGCAAATGAACTCGCCACCCATTGTTGTAAACAAGCCCGGCCCACCGCCAGGAGATGAAGATCTCCAAGAGAACATGGATCCAGTGGATCATTCGCTCTGCTGTGATTCAAAAAAGAGTTGGGCTCAATCATGGGATGGTGGAGGTGTCAAAACATGTGTTTCATGTATGATTGACACGGCTTCACTGCTTCTCTTGAGCAGCTAGATGTGAAAAAACATGAAAACAACAAATCTGCCGCTAAATGGAAAAACAAACCGCCGCCAATTCCAAGAACCATTTTTCCAGTAGAGGCAAAAAAAATGCAACCCTAGGAAGATGCAGGTATATATATTTATTTATGTAACTTATGTATATTTATGTTAGACCCATTTCAAATCCCTCTAGAGTGACCACTGCCAGAGTGACCCGTTCCTCCGTTTCTGAGTGTGTGAAGTGAATTATGTTTCTGGGCTTTGTCGGATTCCAAGCAGCGTGTTCGATGATCTCGGTATATCCCATTATCAGTACATCATGATGGAAACTACACACCCTTCACCAAAAATAGTGATATCTTGAACATCTTTAATGGGATACACCCTACGAGGCTCTTCAATTCAAGGGACGACCTGGCGACTGGTCAAGGGGTTTGTTCCTCATACGGGTCTTCAGACCACCAGTTTACACTTCGAATAGATCCACAGTACCCTGGCTTCGCCAGCTGCTTGTCGCATAGAATCACCACCAAAGGCCTAAAGTCCTAGATTCAAAGCGCTCTTCCCAAAAGCATCCAAAAGCCCTTTTGTCCAGCTTGACCTGTTTTTTTTGGGGGATGGCCCCAAAGTTGCACACCTCCTGCCAATTCGATCAAACATCTACCCAGAATCCACTCCTGGATCTCTCTCCCTCCCTCTCTGGTCCGAAACCACCGCCACCACCCCCAGGAAACCACGCATTGGCCCGTGGCGTGGCTTCGGTTGTCCTCCGTCCCTCCTTCCGGATCCCCAGATCGTACGTCACCGCCGACGCACGGGACGTCCGTTGTGACTCGCGAGGTGACAGGCGGCGTGACACGTGACAGGTGTCGGTGTGCAAAACATGAATTTCATGCCGGGAAGGGGAAGAAATCAGAACAAAGCTCCAGTAAAGCCCTCCCAAAAAGCCTCAAATTTGGGAAGGTGCATGGTTTGGTACACACCCCGCGAATCCATGTCATGGAGCTCTTTTTTCATGCATTACAGTAACTCCCTTTTCAACCACCCCAATGTAGTTTTCAATACGGCATAGCATGGCCGTCACATGGATCCACAATGTCCTTCTGCGCCCACCGGTACCATCTGGTACCTGCGATGTCTTGCCGCTTCGTCATCTCCGCCTCGTTCAACATGGCCACTGCGCTCAGGTTCGACAATCCATGGGACTGGTATATTCACATTTTGTAGATATACATTAACCCATCAGTTGGGGGTGGTTGAACAGGCGTCTGTTCGTATGTCGTTATCATTGATGCTCGTCCCATGCGCTGTGCCTGGCATGGATAGCACTGTTTTTGTCGGCTCCGCAGTTTGCAGAGCGCTCATCGAAGCACGTCCCAGTCCCAGCAGGGCATCCTCGTCGTCCAGGTGTGAATCAGGGAGCCGACGACTGCACACCAACCAGCAAAGGTTGAAGAACCCTTTAGACTATCCTAGCTCGGTATCCATGTAGGGTCCTAGTTCAGGTCACTGTCCACCTCTGTTGGAAAATATGGATTTCACACCGGAATCATCGACACGATGAACATCAATGCACTGGGGCTACACGAAGTCATGCACAATTTCTTTGGCGATCAGTGAATTGCGGAGTTGGGAGGAAGACAATGTAGCTTAAGAGTTCTTGTGCCTGACACCTTCGCAGTGAACTGGCCCTGAAACTCCCTCTTCACAAGGGTCTGGACACGAACCCAAACCCTTCCCATTGGTTCGGGTCCGGATTCTGAGAACAAGTGCATTATCATTGTTGACCAAAGATACTAAAGGTGTTTGTTTGAGAGGCAGTTAATTTCTGCTCATGCAACCTCACTTGCGTTGAAAAATAGGCTTGAGAGAGTGTCCCGCGAAGCTGCACTTGAGACTGAAAGGAACCAATTTCTGCGGCCAAAAGAGGTTTCGGGGATCAATGCAGGCATATGTACCAGTCCCACGGGGGTGTCTGGGACAGGAACCGGTTTCTCACTTTGTGTAGACGACCCACAAGAGCTACCCTGACCCACCGCTGGACATTTTCGCCCACTGGGTGACTGGGTGGTCCAAAGAAGTGGATTTCGTGTCCCAGCATCCATCTGAACCGGTGTGGTTCGCTTCGACCGCGTGAACACCTACGAGCATTGCCTTACCATGGGAGGTGGGGTGTTCTTGACAAGTGCTAGTAAAGACTTCTGATTCCCGATGCCGGAGGTCCGGGGAAAATACAGCTGAACCGAACTTGCCATGTGTTGGATATTGAGTGGGGCGTCACCCATCTTTCCGAAAAGAAGTTGACCTGCAGGTGATCCTCCAACCACTTCCTGCGTAGGTAAAGGGTTGAAAGAACACCAAAGGGTTTCACATGGTTTCACAGTGGATTCTGCACCACTTCAACCTAGAACTCCTGGCTGTGGTGGATTTGCGTTCTTGTTTAGGGAACTAGGAAAAAGTACGAATTGGTACCAAAAGGTGATTCCCTAAGCAAAAACAGGCTGCACACTAGGAGATTCTAACATGTTTGGAATCCCGCGAGCTAGCATAACTAGCAGGCCAAAGGAATCAAAGAGTGACCTCCTATCAGAAAACAGGACGCTGACGTGGAACCAGGCGTGGACGTTTGCTCCACGAAAAGAACAAACACGCACTCAAAGTATCCCTCCACTATCTCCTCCCTCAAAAAACAAAAAGATACGTGGATTTGTTGAAATTCTTCTCCTCAGGGGTGGGAGGGTATCTGGTCAGAACATGGAACTTTGGTGTGGCGAACATTCCCTCTTACAGCTTCCCCCTGCTTTGCTCTCTTCGCTGCTTACTCCACAAAAGTCCATAAGTCACGACATGCCACAATGAGGACAGGAAGTACTATACCCTCCATGTGCTGGTTGCCATTTGTTGCGAAAGCTCGAGAAACAGAAGTGAGTTCTTTGAACTTCTCGTCGATGACTGAACCACTGGGGGACTGCCGATGCACGATCGGTGCTTCCTCAGAGGACAAGCACGTCCCCACGTCCGGTGGAACATGCCGGGGAAGTTCGTGAAAGCCACGCGTCACGCGGGAGACGCACAATGTGACGCGGCGTGAGACTGCGACAAAGGCCATCAGTGGAGGGAGCGAACGTTTTCAGAGTGTTAAAACACAGAAAACTGATGGACGGAAAATGGTCTTTTGTCGATTTTTTTTCGTTTTGTTTGGTGGGGAATGGAGCTCAGGGCGTATGGCATGGCTCATGGGAGAACAAGCCTCCGATTTCGATTTCGCATGGAAGCGACGCCCAAGGAGCGGTATTTGAAGCGAAGTTGTAGACTAGTAATAAGGACCCCTAGGGCTTCAAGTGCCTTCTAAGAAGGTGTTTGGGTTGGGTTCAGAGGGTCCAAATACCTTCTGAGGAGGTACGACTGGAGCCCTAGGGGATGTTGTATTT